GGGGGGGGGGGCGGGCAGAGTGACAAGCACAAGTCAGCAAGAGGAAGCAGCCTGCCCAGTGCACACATGATAAACACCCGTGCCTGAGAGGTTCTGAAAGCAACTCAATAAAGCACAGTCTAGTTCTAAGATAAAAACAAAGCAGAAAGGAAACTTTCATTCACATCCCCTCAAGTCTCCTGTCGGTAGTTCACATCACAGGGCCAAGAATCTTTTCAAATATCCGCAGATACTTGCTGTAAATGTCTGAGGAATGATCATTATCACTTGTAAATCAGAAATCTAGGCACTAGATAAAGCCATCTAAGTCACATCCTGGCTCGGGCATTTAGCAGGTGTAACAAACACGTACAGTTGTCTGCCTAGCCTCAGTTTCTCCAGTTAAAATGGAGATCATCAAGGATACTTTTCAGGGTGGTGGTAAAAATGAGAGAGAATTGACATGAAGCACAGACGGATGCCCAAGGGCTGCACACACACACAAATATTCTACAAATGAGAGCTATCTAAACTTTAGGTGAGAGGAGAATATATGTGGTTGTTGTTGATAGACAATCAAAAACTGAAATTGAGATAGTTTGATGGCATCGTTTTAAATGATAATTAGTACAAACTGAAATGAACCAGCATATAAAACACAATCCATAGATCAATAATCTGGGCCCCCAGCAGAGGCGAGTGAGATGAACTCAGTCAAAATCTAGCATTGTTCCTCCCTCTCTGTTATGTAAACTCTATTTCATTTTCACACCTCTGTCCACTAACCCATTTCTGTACCACCCCCGTCCCCAATAGCACCTCCGTTCTCTTGTGCAGGAAGGAAAATTCTGCATTCTACTTTTTAATGGAGGTCAGACCATTACAGACTACCCATATCATCCCTCTGTAGCTTAAAACTTTGTGAAATAAGTCTACCTCTATAAATTCAACGGGCAATTCAATTTCTAGGGGGTGAACTTGACATCAAAATTTTCTAAAAGCTAAATTACCATGTGTAGTCAGAAAGTGTGTATCTAAGCAAGCTGTCTGCTTACCTCAGATATGATTCTGAATAAAAGGAAGAGAGCTGCTTCTGAAATCCAATATTCAAATGAAACAGAAAGGATCCTTATGAACAGTTTAGAAAATGTACAGGAAGGTGTGGGAAACAGCCCCCAGAGGGAGGCTGTGAGCTGATTAACAGGGGATGAGAATTAATTCTTCAGTAACAAGTTAGAAAAAAAGAATGTGGGTTAAAAACGCCCTGACTTTGCACTAGTATTACCCATCTCATGACTTCTGCAAAGGTTTGAGCCAGCCAATTACATTACAAAGCTTCTAAACTAATTTTGTAGTTTGTTTATTTCAAGTGTTGTTTGTTTATTCAAGAAATAACTACTAGATGTTTTAGTTACGTACCAATGCTGTGGAATTTCCCCAAGTGATGACATTTTACATCGGTGTGCATGTTTTGAACCACTTCAGCTAAAACTAAAAGTCAAACAGAGGCAAGGAAATGAACTCACTTGTCAAACTCATCAAAGAGGTCACAGCTCTGCAGCTTTGAAAGAGCAAGTCGAAAATATTCCGCTAGAAAACAAATGGAGTACTGTGAGTGAAAGGAATCATGGCTTCGTGGGTACATAGTAAGCCACCTTTAACCCCACTCGTCCCCCAAAGCCATTACAACTGGTGTGGCTACATTTGATTTCTTCTGAGATGAAGATTCATGATACAACTGCATTTAGCCAGCACTACGTAACAGACACATCACAATGGTCGATGCTCTAAGGACACGTTCCAAAAACCCCAGAAAAATAAGGGGCTTAATGGGAAAACAATCATAAAAAGTAATCCCCAAATTAGCAGAATCAGATAATTCTGAAACTAAAATCAGTATAGAAATCAATATGCAGCAAGTTTAACCTTACTGAATTACCATTTCTCTTCAATACCTTTTAACACACACACACACACACACACACACACACACACACACACAATCAATAAGCAAAATCTAAGTCAGAAAACTGTAGGCTTGTTACCTTCTGGGCTTTTAGGGTCTCCCCAAAACGGAGAACATAAAGTTGTGCAAGCCAATCAGGTTTCAAGCAGAGGGGAAAGTGTCTCATTATTAGTGGATGGAATATTTCTCTCTCTAAATTTAGCAAAAATAAAACAGCCACTGATTAAATTTTAAATTTTTAATCTAGCTCCTCGGTCAAGGAGCTAGAACTTGCTGATGAAATAAAAGAAAACTCCCAAGTAAAGAGGTGAAATGGGAGTCTGGGAGGAAGTTAACACACAGGGTTATCCTGCTAATTCTAATTGGAATAAGGTAAGGCATCAGGACTCATTAACAATACGGTGGTAAAACAAAAGTATAAAGCAGTGTCTTAACAACAACAATAAAAATCTACCCTTTTTAATCCTCTTATTCTATCCCGCCTCCAAAGGAGTTATATACTAAAATGGATGCCCTCTTCCCATCCCAAAATTATATTCTTTAGAAATCATTATGAAGCAGAAAGATGAAAAGGCCTTATTTTTATATAAACATGCAGTTCACATCAAACACCACTCATATTCAATAGGGCAAGGTAAGAATAACATTACTGACCTGACGTCCTTATCCCATAGGGCAAATCAAACTTATCGCTACCATACAAGGAAGCAAGCTTTTTAAAATCAGCTGCACAAAGAAAAGGGTGAAACTGGTGAAACCTGGAAGATAAGGATAAGGAATGATTTTCCCAAGTGCACATGACACTTGTAGGCTTTTGAAGTCACAACTGAAAATAACTGTAGCATATTACTCATATTGTTTTATTGACTATATAAATGTATAATTATTTTTAAATTATCTAAAATCACCTTAAGTAGTATTTAAATAGTACATAGAACAGGATATGCAATGGAACTACATGACCAGCATGGAAACACTTTCCAGGTAGTGGAATCAAAACTATGTAACAGCTAAGGGGGCAGGGCTTGGGGGAACAAAATTTTAAAACAAACCAACACCAAGTGATAAAATATTAGCTGCCATATACAGAAAGAAACAAAGGAACTAATAAGGGAAAATAAAAATATTGATGCCAACCTATTCCCAAATGTAAAGGCACTGTATGTATGAATGTGTCAACCGTGAAAATAAAGCATACATTAAAATTAGATATAGCTAGAACTAAATTCCTGATGTCACTAAATTAAGATTTACTCAAGAACAAGAACCACGGGCATTTTTCTTCTTATTGCCTGTCTCTCCAGGTGCTCTCTCAAACAAAAGAATGTTTGATGAGAGTAGGGGGTGCCTCTGCTTTTTCTCACTTTTAGTGCCTGGCAGAGTAGGCAGACAACATACATTTAATAAATGATTGAATGAATTCAAACTCCAAACTAATTCTTTACACAACCATTATCTAATAGAAAAATAATTGTTTTAACTAAAGAAAAGGAATAGGTGACACTCATATTAAAATACTATTTTTATCTACCAGAAGGACTGAATGCTACGGAGCAAATCAAGCTAATCCTCCCCCAATCTCCACACAGAGCCCCCTCTTTTCAGACTCATCACCTTCGCTTTCTCTTAGTCTAAAAACTACAAGTGGAGATCAGAGTGCCCCTTATATTTCAGAGGCTTCATGACACAATGGAGTAGGGGTGAACCAGCTTCAGTTTTATCCGGGCTTTGCCACTCATGAGCCACTAACATTTTTCAGAACTGAGCTAAAACTTCACATGTACTCAAACTAAGGAAACAGGTGGAAGACCAGCCCTTCCTGCTTTACACGTGATGTGTTTCCCAGATTTAGTTGTCATAGTGATAGCAGCCTTGCAGGTCCAGCCAATCTTGAAAGGTCCTATGTACACCAGGATGGATGCCCAAGTTCAGGATCTGCTCAGAGAAGATGAAGTGTCAGGTCACCTGACTTATGATTGAGAGGAGACACAAGATCTTCCCAACTTGGGAAAGTGAACCACAGATGACTTTGCATCCAGAGAGCAAGGCAATAAAGGACTCTATTCTTTGGAGTTGGTAGGGGTGATGATATGATGACCAATGACTAATGTCTATTGCCAGTCAAACTTTGTGCTAGATGGCTTACATTTTATTTCTAAATGAAATAATAGGGAAAAATATCTTTCAGGCAAATGGAAATGAAAAAAAAAAGCTGGAGTAGCAATACTTATATTTGACAAAATAGACCTCATAGTGAAGGCCATAACAAGAGATAAGGAAGGCCACTTCATAATACTAAAGGGATCGATACAACCACAAGAGGATATAACCCTGATAAACATATATGCACCCAATGCAGGAGCACCCACATACATAAAAAAAAACTCCTGGAAGATATCAA